AACACGCTGGAGAAGAAAAGAATAAAAGGGAAAAAAAAGGGTAGACCTCTAAAACCGCACGAGCAAGCCAAACGATTAATTGAGGTAAAACTTAACCACAGGTGAGAATGAAAACCATTTCAAGCTTTTGTTCGACAGAACGAGAGGGTGGGGTCTACGGTTAAGAACAATACTAATAAAAAGAACATTTTGCAAACGAGTTACCTTGTCAAACGTTTTCAAGAAATTACATACCCCCTTTAAAAGAAATCGATCAAAATAATTTTAAACAGATGTTTTACAAAAACGAAGTCCATTTTATATCGTTGTGCTTTTTTAACAGAAATAGGGGAAACTGATAATTTCCTCTTTTATAAGTTAAAAAAAAAAATTGCGCAATACGTACAGTTTATATATTTATAGAAAGGTATGGTGTATGCTTACGCGTTGACTTAACTAAAAACAATTACCTAATATGTGTTGAGTAACTAACTACAGCAAAGAAATAATCAATATACTAAACCAAGAGATTTTTAATGCTTGTAAAATTTCTATCTCGTATTTTTTAATAACTACAGTTTTTCAGTAATATATAACTATACAATTATTGTAGTTGTTTTGTCTATCGTTAGTTTTAATAATGCTATTTTATTTCAAATGCAATGTCCAAAGTAAAATTTGTTCCGTTTGCAGGTTTAGTTTTTTACTTTTATATTTTACTCGAAATGAATAATAATATGATTTAATAAACATAATTATTTTAAACATGTATTTATTTAAAGACATTATACCTCTAAAATTTTTTGGAGGTTATGACATTGTTATAATTTTGATTAAGTTAAAAAATAATTTTATATGCGTAAATTCATTTTTAAAAATATCAAATGTGAAAGATTTTGATTGAATGTAAAGGAAATTAAAATGTCTATATTCCTTTGAGTTTTCTTTGTGCAGGCTACATTATTTGTTATTAAACCAACAGGAATAATTGTTTACGGGAAATTAATAAGTAGTCTCAATAATTATATGTGCTCTTTTTTTAGGGCAGTGATGGTCAAACTCTGATTGGTCTAGAGATTCTATATGCCATTAGCAGATTTTTAAATAATTTTATACAAAATTTGAATTTAAATGTTTTAAAAATTTATTTATTTATTTTTACACGTACACAAAAATTTCATAGAAACACTAACAGTTTTTGCATATAAAAATATAATTGTGAAATTCATTTGAAAATTAATTTAAAATATTTACATGTTCGAAAAATCCCCCTTTTTTTAAAATTAAGCATAAAAGTTGAAAACGGATCTTGTAATTATTTAGTAAATTTGTAAGGGAATAATTTAAAATTAACTCTTTGGGGGAAAAAGAAACATTTCATGGTCATTACTGTATCTTATAACAAAATAAGCTGGGGCTCTAACACTCTGCTTATGCATCATTATTTTATTTAATCTAAAAAAGTTTAAGGCCATTTATATATTGCTTTTGAAATTTTTGAATTTATTTCTGAACTAAAATTTCAAAAAATGTATTTTTGATGTTTTAAAACAAAGAATTAAGTTATTAAGAAAAATTTTAAATTTGTAATAATTTTCCTCATAAAATTAACAATTTCTTTTTAGAAATTACATTAAAACTTTTTTTTTTATTTTATAAAAATTTTTCTAATTCTACTTCAACAAATTTAATGAACCTCTATATTTGGGGAATTTTTTTTTATAACGAACTTTTTTTTGGAACCAAGAACATTTCACGGTTTTCTTCCGTAAAATAACTTCCCAACAGCAAAGTGCATTTTCTCTGTAACGAACTTTTTCTCTTGTTGCTCATTTTTTTTCTCCCTATTTTTGAAATATTTCTGGACACTTCAAATTTTTCTTTTAACACATTTTACGGTGGTCATAAATCTTGAACTGGCTTTATTAAGCGTCTGACTCGCCAAGAGCAATAGAATATTGGGCGTTTCATCCAAAAATGCAACCCATTGTCCAGTTCGCTGGTAACATCTTCGATATCCCTTTTCACACTCATTGAAGCGGTCTCGTGTCCTTCAACTATACTCTCCGTTCATTTATAGTGTTTATCAGTAGTACTGGTAACTTCTAGTAGCTCGAAATTCTGAAAACGTAAGTGCTTGAGCATCAAAGAAAAAAATTGTAATTCTTCAGGAAGTGGATAAAGACGTTAAGAAACTTCCCTTGCAGTTTTTCTTTCTTTTCTTTTTTGACACAGGCAAGATATATAAGAGATAAATATATATTAGTTTACAAAGAGGTGTGAATAATTACTTTTTTAAATATTTATGTTTATGACTATAAAATATTTTTCAGGTGGTTTATAAAGAAAATTGAAAGATGAACCTCTGTATAGCGAATTTTTTGTTATATAGAGTTCTAACTGTATTTGATAGCTCTTGAAGAATGATTAAATTCAGACAAAAGATTCCAGAATATTTGCTTATATATTTAAAATCAATGATTTTAATTTTTTCTGTTGATGTATAGCACAATCTAGTAGCCTAAGGTGATAGCCGTGGGCTTTAAAAATCTGAAGAAAGTATCAAATCAGTATCATATACTGTATCATAATTTTTAGATATGCCTGAAGTTAAGGAACACACACATTTCGGTTTTATTAGCATTTTTTTTTCTAGAATTACATTAAGGACAATATATATGAGTATTTTGGTCCACGATCACAAGCAATAAAAAGATTACTTTATTTTCTGAGCTTCCGCATCACAAAGTATTGTGGTAAGAAATCCAATACTTTGTAGCTTAATATCCAATATATTTTGCCCTGATAAATAAATTCAAGAATTAAACATTACCTGTCATAAAGTCTGTATCTATGACCACCGAGCTATCATAACTCATCAAAAGAGTGGAGTACACATACCTATCTTCGTATCTTATTGAGGGGGATACATTCTAAAAACACAAAGACGAAAGAATGGAAGCGCAATCTCTGTGGGAAAAATTAAAAATTTGTTGGTCTAGGTGTTAGGGGGGAGGGGGAGGAGGTAAGGGTTGAACCCCTAAACCCCTTCCCTTATGTACATTCTATTAAGCATTTGAGATCTTAATTTGAAGCATCTGTAAATTATTTCATCAGGGGCGTAGATACCACCATATGAATCATAAGGGGCCCCGATGCTACAGAAGTCCCAACATATGTAAGCAAAAAATCCTTTATTTAAAGGGCCTCAAGAAGTTTTGATACAGGGCCCACTCAGAACTAGCTACGCCAGTGTATTTGATGATATTGTGTTATTAAGTAACATAATATTACGATTTTATTCATATAAATTTTGAAAAAGTTTAAGATTGCATGTTCCTGCGATAGTGAACAAAATATTCAAAAACTTTCATTGCCGGAAGAAATTTAAAAATCAATGGAAGTCGAAGAATTTCTTTTATTACAAATTTTGTAATTGCTTACTGTAAACTAAGTGCTTTCCGATTTTTAAAAATTGAAATTTATTATAAAATTATAAGTTTTCATGATATCTATACATCAGAAATTTTAAAAAAGGAATGGGAGTAGAGAGAATGTAAATAATAACAATTTCCATTTTTTTTTTATCATTAATTCAAAATATTCATATATTTATAAGGGGGAAAAAACTTATCTATCTTTTCACACAAAATATTATATGTGCCCAATAAAATCATTCACCTCAAGTTAAAACACAATTAGTTTTGTCTGAAAGATGGTCGGGTAAGTATTGCAGACAGTCGAATTATCTGTGGATATCTGTTTACTTATTTCTTTTTTTCTAGATTGGAATTATGTACGTAATTATCTTTGATTAATTAAATATTAATATTTCAAATAAGCCAAATTATTTAAAATTTTCAGGAACATTTAGAAAATTTCTGATTTAAAAAAAAACAGTCCTAAATTCTTTCGACGTTTATTGTACTTGATGATTGGAGGATACGTTGGTAGCTTTCCGAATCAAACACCAATAGCGATTAATCGAAATGAGGCTCGGAAAAAGAACACACTCTGTGGTTGCTTCCAAGAATCAAGATTCATTTCATTCGTCACGCCAGACAGTTAGTTGTAATACATTTTCGTTACAATCTTTGGTAATGATGTAGCAGAGAGAAAGGCAGTCTTGGCAAATGATGGTGAAATCACTAGTCGTTTCAACCAATCGAAGACTGATCTTCTAAACTTTCTGATAGCCTTGTCGAACATTGGTGAATTGTTGATAGTGAGTTTGCGTGACATCCTATTTGATGATCCTCGTCTGTGTCTCAATGACAGTTGAACGATGAAATTTCTCTAAGATGGATTTAGAAGTTATCTAGAATATATAAACCTGGTTTTTTTCTCATCTAATAACTATTTGTAAATGTGAAAAAATTATTATTTTTCTTTGGGAAATCTTGTATAAGTCGAAACAAGTCATATGTAAAAAAAATTGCTTAACACTAGAAAGACTGAAATCTAGAAAATACCTATATTGCCCAAAAGCAGTCAAAATGACTGCATTGTGAAAGAATGATTAATGTGTAAAGAAATTTGTTTAAAATTATTTTTTAATATTATTTATATTACCTACAGTCATATAACAAGTTATTAGTAAATATTATCAATAAAATTTTTTTTAACTCACTTCGAAAAAAAATATATTCTAAAAAATTCTAAGAGATTGTGCATTATATATGTAATTGTTTTTCTGATTGAAATTAAAAAGCAGTCAAAATGACTTCCTTGGGCAATCTAGTGTTAAGTCAATTCCTACTTAGGTCAACAAAGAAAAATTTTATTTTAGTTTCTTTTTATTAAACAGTTACAATTAATGTAAATATGTACATGCGTATGACCGAATCACACTATTAAGTGATAAATAGAAAGCGATTCTCCTTGCAATTTTTCATTTTTCTTTCTATATAGGGTGTTGGACTATTTTGTGTTTTGTTTATTACTATTTATTCATTAATTAAATTTAATTATTGTAATAAAATAGTATAGTAAAAAATAAATCACATTCTCCGAAATTAGGCCATCCCAAGGGGAATTTAAACCCACGATCTTTGGATTAGGTATCCAACGAGCTATCCATCGCACTACAGGAATACAACGAACTATTTTCCTTCCTATATATGCTGTTGGACTATTATTTTTGTTTATTACTATTTATTCATCTTTTAATTTAATTAATAAATTAATATTTGAAAAAAATTGTATTAACATCGAGGGTCATCCAAGTTTAAAAAAACGTATTTAAACTCTAATGGATGAATAGAAAGTATTTTATTAACGATTGAAAATTTGAATAGATATATATATACTATATATATATATATATATATATATATATACTATATATATATATATATATATATATACTATATATGAATGTATATATATATATATATACTATATATATATATATATATATATATATATATATATATATATATATATATATACTCATATATATATATACTCATATATATATATATATATATATATATATATATACTATATATATATATATACTATATATATATATATATATATATATATATATATATATTTTAAATATATATAAATCAATCACAAATTCACAATCAATTAAAAATTGAAATTGTATGAATCTTATAATACTAAATCCCATTTCAAGATATCAATGGTGAATATAGAAAATAAAATTCCAACGTTTTCAAACAAAATTAAAAATTTATAAAATTAAAAATTTATAGAATATCCAAGTGCAACCTCGGACTTAGGACCGATAAGTGGGGTTAAACTAGTTTGATGGCGCCAACCTTCCCCCTATTGCAACTTGGAAAGTTAATCTGGAAATATCCAATTCTCAGAAATTTAAAAAATTAATCTATTCGCCATCGCATTCTGAAAGATATAATTACATTAATATATATATATATATATATATATATATATATATATAGAGAGAGAGAGAGAGAGATAGAGAACTAATTGTAGGAATTGAAAAATAATTATATTAATTGTATGTATTATTCAATGTATAATCAAATCTTACTTAATGCATTCATTTGACTTAAATATTCAGAATGCATGCATATTTCCTTGACAGCGGCACAAAATATTTTACATAAATTATACTTAAACTTAACTAAATATACGTATTTCTATATTATTTCAACACGTTATTTTAATAATGTGACATTTTTTAATATTTGCCACAATGACAAGAGTACTGTCATGTAATGCAGTGCTCCCAAACCTTTCTATAGCTGCGGACCGATAAGTGTTTGATAATTTTACCGCGACTCTCTGAAGGAGGGGGACGTTGAATATTTATATTTTAGATTGCTTTTATTTAATAATTTTTGTTTAATTGTATTTAAACATACCTCAAGAATAAAGTACAGTTACAACAAGAAATTAATTTTAAGTGATTTAACATGGTATATAAAATGATTACCATAAAACCCTAGAGTACCACCACAGTATATAAAATGAAAATAATTTAATATTCCTTGTGCGGACCGGCACTATTTGGTTCACTGACCAGTACCGGTCCACGGACCGGGGGTTGGGGACCACTGATGTGATGAATATCATGCATCGTATTAAATATTTGATCATCCTAAGCGTTCAATAAAAAATTATACATTCCTCATATACAATAGACATTATTGGCATCTTATCTCTTGAACCTACAGGAGGGCTATTGTCAATGAACCTCATAATTTTGAACTTTGATCAGCTTACGAAAATGACACCTGAGCTGACCTCCCACATCACGTCAATGTGAAAACTTTGAGCCACGACAGATTTATTGTGCAGCAGCTCCACTACACGGCGAATCTTTAAATACCCTTAGACTCTAACCCCAGATTCGACTTCGCATGTATGAAGGACATTACAAAAAAAAAGATACACTTTGCTAAGGTACTTTTTAAAAAGTAAACTGAATCAAGCTTTGGTCTGTAAAAAAATCAAAGCTTACCTATGCAACTAAAGTACTATTTTTATAATCATTTGAAAGTGAAAAAGTATATGGAATAGGAATATATTTTCTTATTTCGTTTGAAAGGAGATGCAGATTATTTTTGAATGAGATTTTTCTGATTATGAAGATGCATTTCTAAAAATAATATTTAAGGTGATTTAAAAATGCACGAAGCATTTTATTTATATTTTCTATTTAATTTTAAATAAAAGCATCGTTTGCTCTAATGTCCACTTAAGTGGGGGGAGGGGACGCTTCAGCTCCCAGTGAAAAAAAATCATATTTAACTTGCTTCATTCTTAGTAATTATGAACAACATTACCTGAAAATGATAGGGAATCAGGAAAAAAAATTTTTTATTTCTATAACCAGTTAAATAATTTAGTTTAAATGCATGTAGCAAATAAAGTAAATTTATTTAAATAAAATATCAATTCAGCACAAAGACTTGAAAAATAAAAATACTTTAAAATGAAAGCAGTTACAATTGGTTAATATATATTTTTATTCTTAGACTATATCAATCTTCAGTTTTGCTGCTTCAAGTTTTATTTAATAATAGTTTTATTGTTCATTTTAATTTAGGGCTCAAAGCTTATAATTGTGGTGGTGGGAGGGTTGTACATCAAAATTAATTGGAATAAAAGCTACATGTAAGTCATAAAATTTTAAATCCTTCCACGTAGCAAAAATGTTTTTCCTTGAATGCTCAGAAAGGAAATCTTGCTATTTATTATCGAGACGGGTAGCGAATCGTCTAAAACAAAGATCTTTCTCTCATTCCATACAACAATTAAAGAATCGTCGTTTATCAAGCTTACCAACGATAAACCATGACTTCGACCCATTCTGTTGTCACAGCAAACGTTTTAATATCATATAACTTCCCATTCGGCTGCTCGCAAACCCTTTCCTGTAATAACAGATAGTCTAATACCTCTCTTTCTGAAGCAATACTAAAACACAGCAGAGAGGAACAGATGTCGGGAGTAATTATGGAATTTAAAAGAGTCCTTTTACGGGATTAGTTGCCGGGCTCATCCATCATTCTTATGGGCAGCTGTAAGAAGGATATGCACGCTAATTTTCTGCCTCTTTTTCGCGATTAGGGCGACTGAATAGATTTATGAATGATTTGTCAGGGCTTGACCACTTTTCAATGGAGCTACTGGTTTCTTCCCGACTGTTGAGTTGGAGTTTTTATCACGTGGCTTGTCACGAACCCTTTCGGAGTTTCGTGTGATCTCGCCGAATGAGTGGTGGGAGATCTCTTAATACTGCACGACAGGAATTTTAGCGATGAGATGTCGTGTTCTCAGTTGTAAGTCTATATCCTATCTGGCCCTTACAAGCAATGGAATCCATTACTCTTCGTGTCTGCACATTGTTTTAAATTCAGATTTAAATGAAGTTTTTATCATTTATCAGCGGCTTGACCTTTTCTTATTAACATCTTATAGTATTTTTTTTTTATTCCTTTATTTTATATTTATATAGTAAAGAAAGCAGCGATAGTCACATTTATTAAAGAAAAATATTAATATACCCACAAAATAGTATATAATCTACTCCTTTATAATGGTTTCAATTATAAATATTTGTTTGAAATATATTTATGAAATTTCTTCCATTATTTTTTTGTATGTTAATTTAAGCGAAGGGTAGTTGCTATGCTAATATATGTGTTTTCCTTTACCCTCTAACAGCATATTTATAATCACCAGATTTTTATTTTCTTTATATATGTACTTTTTCTTTCTATTCAAGAAATCTAAAAACGATGTATTCATTTTTCGGGGAATTCTAATTCTGCATGTTTTTAGTAGAGTTCGATCAATTTTTCTGAAGCACACACAATACGATTGAATTAACTATAGCTTTGTATGCACAATAACTTTACTATTAAAACTTGTAAAAGTCCTGTACTGGTGTCTTGAATCATGTATATTATTTGTTGAGAATTAAATAAATGTGTGCATGAACTTAGTGATTTCATATAAGCTTGGGAATTTGCAATTTAACTATTTTAAAACGATTCTGTTTATCTGAATACTTTTAAAAAATTTTTGCATTTTGTTTGTACGACAGTAAATAATAACGCGTAGCATTATATATATAAAATAATTACAATAACTGCTTTCTCGCTGTAAATTAATTATATTTACCAAAAATTGATAAGTGCGTGACAAATAATTTTATTGAATTAAAAAATTACTTCAAATGCCTTTATTTCAATAACTGATATTTTTATATTGAATCTTCACTTATCTTTCTCCTTAAGAAAAAAAATTAGAATATTAGATTCAAAACATCTACGAATACGTATCCATCCACATACATTATTACCTTTATATCAGGGGTGAGTAATTATTTTGGCTGGGGGGCCGCATAGGGTAAACGGAGGAGAGCCGCACCTTTTTAAACTGACTGCATTAGTTAACTTTGTAACTCAGAAAAAAGGTATATAAAAATTGTACTATAAAAATCGATACATATAAATTTTAAAAAATATTGGAAGTTTTATTCGGTTTACTTACTGTTCTACTTTCGTATTACTTATAGCTGCCATCACATTTAATTTTAAAATCAGTTTAATGATACAAATGTACCCTAGCATATGTTTCTGAATTTTTTTTTCAATCAAGAGTGAGATTGCTTGTTGAAACTCTCTTTATAGTTGCAAGTTAGTGTCAGCCAACTTGCACCTTTATTTTATGTTGTTGATCACCATGCAAAAACATTTATGTCTATTAGGTTTTCTGACTGCCAGGAGACCCGTAAAAACTCTTTGCTGGTCGCAAGTGGCCCGCGGGCCGTGTTTTGCCCATTCCTGCTTTTATAAAAATTTTTATTGATTAATAATTAGGAGATTTCTGTCATCTAATCAACATTTAAGAATTTTATATTTTAAGCATATTAAAAACGATCAATTATTATTATTAAAATGATTAATTAAGTGATTAATAAAGTTATTAATTTAATGCTTCAATATTTAATCTACCATTAATAACTAACTAAAATGGTACTACATAAGAAAATTATACCTTAAAACCTATAAAGGAAAAAAAAAAGACCTTGCGAACAAAAAAGTTGGCTCTAATCTCGGATTTAAACAAACTTCTATCTTTGTGAT